GTAGATGAGAACAATTCAAGAGTTAATTTTTCAAACATTGAAACATGCTTTGTTACAAGCACTTACATTCAAGTGGTATGATCATAAGGAAAATTCAAAAATGTAGATGAGAACAATTCAAGAGTTAATTTTTCAAACATTGAAACATGCTTTGTTACAAGCACTTACATTCAAGTGGTATGATCATAAGGAAAATTCAAAAATGTAGATGAGAACAATTCAAGAGTTAATTTTTCAAACATTGAAACATGCTTTGTTACAAGCACTTACATTCAAGTGGTATGATCATAAGAAAAATTCAAAAATGTAGATGAGAACAATTCAAGAGTTAATTTTTCAAACATTGAAACATGCTTTGTTACAAGCACTTACATTCAAGTGGTATGATCATAAGAAAAATTCAAAAATGTAGATGAGAACAATTCAAGAGTTAATTTTTCAAACATTGAAACATGCTTTGTTACAAGCACTTACATTCAAGTGGTATGATCATAAGAAAAATTCAAAAACTGTAGATGAGAACAATTCAAGAGTTAATTTTTCAAACATTGAAACATGCTTTGTTACAAACACTTACACCCAAGTGGTATGATCATAACCGTCCTATCAAGTTGACATCTGACACATAAGTTACAAAGGTAGGTGACATATTTCAACAAGAATGGAAGAACGGATAATATCTGGTTGCTTTCTATTCTAGAAAGTTGATGGCGGGGGAACAAAATTATCACACGAAATAACGGGAAGAGCTAAACATTGTGTTGGCAACCAACAATGGAAAAATTACTTGTTCGATAAAGAATTTATAGTGGAGACCAATCATAAAACCTTGGTTTATTTGGAAACTTAGAAAAATCTGTCCAACTAACAAATTAGATGATCAGAGTGGCGTCAACGCTTCAACATAAAGATTGTGTACATAGAGAGAAAAAAATGACTTGCGGATGTTTTCACACGCATGCCTTGTTTGAATCATGTTGCAAAAGTGAAAATTCAGGATGATTGATGAAGCAAGATGACACAAACCACAAAGTAGTATGAAGAGATTACTCGAGCACTACAAATTAGAAAAGCGGAGAAATCTTTACATTTAGCATTCTACAAATTACGTATATAGATTCCACAAGATCAAAATTTGCACACAATGATTTTAACCAAAAGTCATGAATAGCCATTGCAAGTCATGTGGGAGTGGAGAAAAACATGGAGAACATACAACGAGTGTACTATTGGCACAAAATATGTGAGAATGTGGAGTCTTATATTAAAAGTTGTATTGTTTGTTAACAAAACAAGACAAGTAATTAAAAGCTAGCCGGTTTATTACAGCCTCTTCCTATTTCCAAATAGCGGTGGGAACATGTCATCATATATCTCGTATGTGAGTTATCAAAGACTTCGCTATAACATGATTTAATGATGATTTTTGTGGAAAAATTGAGCAAGATGATACACATGAGGCCAACCACAAAAACGATAATAGCTCCACAACTAGCTCAATCATATCTAGATGCAAATGCAATATAAAGCTCACACTAAAATTCCTTCAAGTTTGATGTGATTTTCGAAAGGAGAGGATTTTTTGATCAAAGTTGTAGTAGCCAACGAGTTTATAAAGCATATTCACTAAAGACAACATCAAGCCAAGGAGAAGTTAGTGATAACTCAAAATCGGCAAAAACATCATGCCGATGCTCATTGTAGAGAAGTGGTTTTTAAAATAGTAAATCATGTTTGATTATTTATAGCAAATTTGTCTCTTGTAGGAACACCAAAGTTGAACCCTAGATTCATTGGTCCAATTTTTTGTTTTGAAGCATGTTGTCATACTAGTTGAAACTTCCGTCACATATGAAAATATATCCGGCATTTCATGCGTCACGATTGCAAAAACATGTACCACGATCAAAACAATTCACCAATGAGCACCACTTTCTCTTACAACCTTGATAGCAGATAATAAGGAGTTAGAGGTAGAAAAGATACTCAAGAAACGTATTGAAGGTCATAAATCTCCCAAAGTAGAGTATTTGATTCAATGTACAGTCTATTTATCATACGGATCAACTTGAAAACCGGTTGAAAATTTAGCAAATGCACCTTTGAAAGTTCAGGAGTTTGAACGTATGTGCAACGAGGACGTTGCATTTTAATAGAAGTGAGGTTTGTAACCATCTTTAGTTAGTTAGTTAGAACTAAAGAAGAAGTTATTTTAAATTTTGTTATAGATACTTTACCGTGCACTAGTCATAGCTGTCACGTCAGTGATCCGAGCGCTTGGTATGTAGACAGTAGGTGCGTTACTTGACAATGTCACGTCAAGGTTCCGTGTGCTTGTTATGTGAGGATTGAGTGTGTTAGTTGGAAGCGCCACGTCAGCCATCCGTGTGCTTGTTAGAGTTATCCGCCATGTCATACATCCACTAGGAGTTTAATGGATGGTAGGAATAAGATCTTATCTCCTTGTAATTGTTGATGAGAGCTATATAAAGAAGAGTAGAACCATTGTTGGTATCTCTCATCTTCAGAGTTCATGTTTCCATCTTCAAGTGAACTTTTCTCTAAATCCTAGTGTTATAGCAAAAAATTGACTTGAATTTCAATCTCTTGACTACGTTTGCATCCATATGAGCAAGTTCTCATTGAACATGATGTTCAATTTTCATTTCTCCAATTTGTTTGGTCTCTAGTTTTTTGCTTTCTAATGTTAAGATCTTATGTTTTGTAACTTGTTGCTTTGTGTATCCATTCGCTATTGTTTTTCTCCACTTCATTCTCTCAATCATGATTTAGCATTTTCTATTTCATTTATGTCTAATGATGTCTTCATGCTTTCTCCCACTCACTTTAGTATAAAGTAAGTATGATGATTATCCAACCATTTATCAAAGTAGTCACAAAAGGTAAAGATGATTCTACAATAGCTTTATAATAGTTTTCATCATATGTTCTCACAAAAAAATCTCTATGCACTCTTTATAATTCATAACTTATCTTAATGTACATATGTATTGAATATAATCGTGACAGTTGATTTATGATCCAAATTCATGTAGCATTTAGTATTATTTGTAGATGTTACGATTTCATGTATCTTTGTAGCTAACAATTGATAAAATCGATGGCACTTTTGAATCTGTTATTCTAATCATTAATTATACATCCCAATAGACCACAATGTACAACCAAAAATGATCTTTATTTCTAAAACAAAGTTGAATCTCAAAGAGTTTAGACGTAGACCATTGCAATGTTGGATTTCTTCCAAGCACATCCATATCTACAAACATCAAGTTTCACTTCCCTATCTCTCTTAATGTAGATCAATAATCTCTGCTAGTCATTATTTAATATTAAAAATTAAATTTTATCATTACATTCTTGTTATTTCATGAAAAATAATTGACAATAAATCAAGAAGAAGGTAGTTTTGATATTATTGTAACACTAGTGATCAAAAGAAGTTCATTTGAAGAAAAAACACAACTTTGAAAATGAAAAATTTCTCAAATGATTATACTCCTCCATATATAGATTTAACCAACAAGTACAATAAAATTAAATCTCATAATCATCATCCATTACTTTCATAATGGATTGATGACAAGACGGATAATCTTACAAACACACAAATTATTGACGTGTCGCTTTCAATTAACATACACGTAAACCTTATCTAACAAACACAGGAATTGCTTACATATTACTGTCAACTAGCACACTTATTCTCTACCTATCAAACACATGAATTGCTGACATGACAACTATGAACAATGTCTTTTAAGATAATAATAACTTCATTTTGAGTGACCACCTTATCCACGTTTGATTCCATCCTTGAAGATATACTCCAAACGATTTGTTGTTGCAAAATGAATTCATATTCAAACTATTTTGAGATTGTTTTTCAAAATTTTAAAAATCTTTTGACTTGCTTTTTCCTTCTAGAAATACACTTTGTAAATAATAATAAGATTTTGCAAATGATGACTTTTTTGGAAAAGTCCTGACCTAACATTTGTCATAGATTTTTTGACACCAAAGTATGTGTTATATTATTTAAGAGAAAACCACAAAACCATTAACTTTTTGCATGATTGAGCGCAAGCAGAAAAGTTTCCCGAAAAAGTCATTATTTTCAACATGTTTGTTTGGAGAGCTCTTTGATTACCAACAAATCTCCTTTTTAAATGTGTTGTTGATGCCAAGTTTTGTATGTCATTCAAGAGAGTTTGTGCTCTGATCTCGGTTTGCCTACTAGGTACAAGCCGCACGGTAGCATATACTCCTTGAAATGGGTAGTATCTATCCCATAGCTCGTAACGTAACCTGAAAGATGCTGTGCTCCAAGGTTCTCATCGGATAAAATGAATCATGTTTATTTTCAACAAGTGTTTTGTGTTTCTTTCAAGTAAATTTCTCCAATAGAAATATTTTTATTTCACAAATTTATTATATGATTATACTCCTGCACTAATTTTCATGTAATTATTAGCATGGGATCTCTAATTTATAATTTCATGAATTGAGATTATGTGATTTATAATTCCATACTAATAACTGGGCCATCCAATGATGGTTACTAAAATTTATTGACCAAAGGATGCAAAGAAGTCTGTAGGGTAGTTAGTTGTGTTACTAAAAGATTGTAAAGTGAAGGATATGGACAAAATGATCATGGTTGGAGTTCAACAGAAAGAATCAGTTGTGGATATGGTTGAGGAGACCTTGAAGGATCATGAGCTTCGATTCTACTTTCATTGGTTTTGCGAAGGTGAGTTGTGGAGATCAATATCCATAAACAACAAGAATTCACCTTATAATGTCTTGTCCATATTGTTGAAATTCGGATGATTTCAGTAAAAATTATCATGATATCCATATCATGACTCAAAAGAGTGTTTATACCTGTGTTCATAACCTGGTCTCATAGCACCACCAACACCGGAGTGGGACGAGAGAGAGCTTTCTTCAATTGGGTCATTTGTGAAATTGATGGCTCAGTTGTGTAATTCTGTATGGCGATACTCTTCTGCGATCTGCAAGCCTTTAACAAAGCTCATCAAGCTTCTGGAGGAGGACCCTTTGGGACTGACTGCTTTGGCCGCTGCGACTTTCATATTCTGGGCATTCTTCCTTATGAGATTGCTCTCTTCGGACGACAACACTAATCGTATTGCCTTTTCTACGTCATGTCTATCCACTCTCAACGGCAGCCCTGTACTAACGTCTTGACTCGGAAGCATCACCCCCAACTTTGCTCCGTCTGCCGCAAATCTGAAAGGAAATCAAAAACCTGAAGTTAATAAAGATACAGCCCAGAGCCAGCCATGTGTGAATCAGGAGACAAGTCAGAAATTTACGCATGGCACAATGATCTGCAGCGATCATAGACGAAGAAAGTAGGACTTACTAAAAGACAGCTTAGAGAATCGGTGGACGACTCTGCGTATTCTGGACACGCACGATCTACAGAGTTCCGCAACAGAAACAAAATGTCTTCGGAAGGCAAAATTGGAAGTTCGAGCTTACTTGACATTGACAGGCTGATCGGCAAAAGTGGCCCATGCTATGAACGGATCACCTCTACAGATAGTTTCCAGAGTAGAATTCCAACCTCCTTGCATAAGGAACGCTGCAGTCGAACGATGTTCTAATATTTGTAGCTGTGGAGCCCAGTCTCTAGTGATAGGCCCCCGGCCTTTGACTCGCTCCTCAAACCCACTAGGCAGAACCTGCTCCGCCTCCTCTGCGGAGAGTCCTGGCGGCGGTCTCAAGACCCACAAAAATCTGGCTTCGCTTCCCTCGAGTCCCAGTGCCAACTCGTGCACCATTTCTATGGAAAAATTGGTGAATCCCGTGGTCCCAAAGTTAACATACACCACCGAAGTCGGTGGCTGCTCATCCAGCCATTTAAGACATTCGTCCCCGACGTCGTTGAAGTTTTCGTTAGAGTGGCCTTTGAAGTTCTTGGTCGGTTGTACCGTCGATGACAGTGGACCTACTGGTATCATGTTAACTCCCTGTCAACACGTCCATCATGTCAGCGACAACTTCCACATTCTCAGAATTTCTCCTTTTTGTTGGTTATGAAGGAGAAAGATTTTATGCGAGTGCTCGCTGCTGGACACGAAGGGTAAGACAGACTTATTTCACTCGGAGTGACTTCATGAGTACAATAGCCTTCTGAATTTCAAAACGTCTCACTAGTTCCACCCGCGTACCTTTCTCTGAAGCTCAGCAATCGACCTACATGTTCCAGTTCGGAAAATGTGTTCTCCAAGATACCTGCTGCTCCCTTTATAGAATTTATGACAAATGTCGGACCTTGACCTTTTCGTTTGGCAAGGAAGAAGGTACTGATGAGGGGACCCGGGATGATGTTTGGCCAGTGCAGTATCTTTGGCCTCTCCATATCTTTTTTAGTGATTGGATGATGAAGTACCATCAAAACCGCAAACGCCGACATTGCGCTCAGAATGTATCGAGGAATTTGCAGTCTCGCAGCTGCTTGCTGCGTAGTTAATCCACAAAACTCACATCAATCTCATGAGCAAGTAGTCTACATCAATGCAAAACTTTCATATCCCGTTCAAGCAAACATAGACTTCGACAGGTTTGCGAAGAGAATTGAATCGAACTGACCACCGTCCACTGAAGAAGGATATCGGATATGAGGCAATGATACCGAGGTTTCCCTTCTATGTCGCCGCCCGCTCCTAGCAACTCTTTGTCGAAGTACTCGTTCACAACCCGTCCAAGGGCTTCGCCGTTCGCAAGTGGGTTCCCTAATATAGGAGGTCCCTGCATTGGAGGCAAAGCAAGAATGTGCACTCCGTCCCTCAATCCATCTGAGGGCAACTCCTCCAACAAGTTTTTGTATAAAAAAATCGTGCAAGTGACTCCTTCATAAGCTGCCAGTTTGTCTGCCAAATGCATCATAGGAGCGATGTGAGGTAGGGATTGATGGGGTATCATCATGAAGTGAACCATCTTTACTCGATGCTCGGTGGAACGCGAGCGAAATCCTTTGTCAAGACCTTGGCAGCTATCAAATCTTTCTGATCTCTAATTCTGAACTCTAAGTCACTGAAAACTTCGATCACTGTATTGCGGAAGTTTGGAGAGGGACCTGGAAAGGGACTGGTGAGCAGAGAATTAGCATCAATGAGAATTGTGTATGATCAACGGGTGGAAGAGTTTATATCAACGATTGAAGTATTGGAAAGAAATGACTTCACGGACTCGACCGCATTATGCAGTTTATACGACGTTCTATGTTTCCGTGACTCGAATGTCGATTACTGTACATGCATGACTATATCACTGACAATACAATTTCAGTCAGAAGTCTAATACCAGGCACGAGTAATGCTTCTAAGACTGGTACTTGTGTCAAAATCATGAGAACGTGATTCGGACTGCTGTTACCTCCCAGGGCTTGAGCACTACTGTCAGGACTATTTTCTGCTAAAAACACTGCTACAGCTAGGGAGAATCTCAACTTGTTCAAAGGTCTACATGCGGTGATATTACTTTTATTTTGTTCGACATTGAAGATTAAAGTTTGTTAAAAGAAATGGGTTTAACCACTATTACACTCGGTTAGAAACAAATATGATGATTCTGAATACCGTATGTGATATATTTTAATAGATTTCAATTACTGTTTTTATTTTCACTAAAATGAGAAATTAACCATTTGAGGTTTTTAATTATGAGAATAGTAAACTAATTGACTATTTATATCTCGAGATTTATTGTACTATGTAGTTATATACATTAGCTCTCAGATGTTTATTGTTAAGAGTAAATTCACATTAATCTACCTTAAGTTAATTGAACTAAGGTTATATTCAATAAGTGGTTGTAATTCTCACCTGAATAAACCTAAGGATTTCCCGTGGATGAAAAAACTCGTTGTGTCAACTCTTGGTGCGCATGCATCTCTTTGTGTTACAATTAACGAATTGTAGTCTACTATTGATGTGGGTGTATGTCTTCGTGTTTAGGATTAACGATTGGCACTCTGTGCAACACCTAACATTCCGATAAGAAAAAGTAGCTTCCATTTAAATTCAATTAGTAGTAAAAGGTAAGACCCAAAGTTTTTACTTTTTATAGCTACACGCCATGACTGTCAATAACTCTTAATATTACGTTACTGGACACTATTCAGGCATTTGGAATCCCGTGTTTGGTTGCACGGGACTCCAAATGCCTGAAATCCCTTATATGCGACTACGGTTTTTCTCAACTTCTATTTTTTTGTTCATTTGGATCTTGTGACCCACATTAAGGATTAGATGTGGATCACAAGATGTATTTACCGTGTGTTTTGTATCTTGCAGGTTCAATGGCGCGCCCTAGATGACCCAGGTGTATGCGATGGAATGAGATATGAAGAAATAAAGATCGACATGCCAGAAGAATATGCGTATGTTCTATATTTTATTTGATAATCTTCATGTATCTCAGCTCCTGATACCGAGTCTTGAAGAGAAACGGTAAAAAGAAAGTCCATTTTCACCTTTTAGTTCACAGTTGTGTGTTGAATTGGCTATTAACGAAGTACTTATCTCTGATGTCTGTGTACAGCGCTCGAAAAGCTGGACAAGTTGAGGTATCGGTATCCTCGTGGCGAATTTTACTTGGATGTTATTCAGAGGTATGGATTTCTTCTAAAATCTTCTTAACAATTCGGTATTCTTGACTTCCATGCATGCGCACAATTCACCCTGCAGCAAAATATCTGATATGAGACATTCTGCTGTTTGTATATGCAAATTAGAACCAGTGACCATTGAACTTGAGAGACAGCGGTCTCCAGTTGTGGTCATCGCTCATCAGGTAAGGAACAGTGTAGTATGCTCTTTAATTACGTATTCACGCCGAAGTTTGTTTTTTTCTTCGGATAGTAACACACCAATCAAAGCTGATGCATGTGCAAACCTGTGCAGGCTGAAATAAATATTTTTGTCTTTTCCAGGCTCTTATGCGTACTTCGCTGATAAACCACTGAAATAGGTGCTACATATTGAGGTCAGTGTTATAGTGCACGTTAGGAGATCTATAATCGCATTATCCTGTTTATTATTCAATAAAACGATCGAATTTCAAGAAAATATCAGTGTAAGCATTACCCCTTGACAAGATTCTATGGTCCGACCGCATGCTCTTTTTTCGGAAAGAACTAAATTGTCAAGACTATTTTACTGATGGTTGAGCTGGTTGTTCAGATGCCTCTACATACTATCATAGAGATTCAAATGGGTGTTACTGGTGTACAAGAAAAGCGGTACAAACTCACGGAGTAAATGTACAGAAATATTACGAAAACTCTCATAATAGCAGCTCAAGTTCCATGCGAATGGATGCTTGAGTGTTCTGGAGATCGCAAGTTTTCTGGAGAAAGTTTTGTCAGATTTTAGGCATGTGATTTGCGGAATCGGGACGTAGGGATAGTTGAGGACGCCTCTAATCACGACCTCAACGTTGTTCAGAAGTGAACAGATAGGGAGTTGCGAGAGCTGAAGGCCCACAGACAATAAATTTCTGCACAATGCTGTATCTAATTTGTAAAAAGTTCTTTATTGTGAAGCTTTTTCAAGTTTTCGCGAGAGGTGCTTACAAGTCACTTACAAATCTCAGATGGTTGTCCTCGACCCCCCTTTACCTGAAGCGTCTCAAGTCACCGATTGGAGCAAGTGGAAGCTCATCTAATAATATGAATGTGCTTGAGGTCTTGAGGATCTTCTTCCTACTTTTGTGCCTGACGACATCAATAAGAAGATAACCGAGTAGGACATCTCCCTGAAACCGGGGAAAATCATGGAGTCGATGATATGCAAGTATTACCTAACCTTGGACATGTGAGACAACCACATTTGGATTTACAGGTCGGTAAGTACTAGCTAGCAAGATTGAATCGGGTATGCGGCTCATGAATGAAGCGAATTATTAACTTGAAGAAGTTTCATGATTTTTCACGTCTGGTCTTCATAATAGATTCATCAATCTGGATATACTCACAATGATCAATATACTTACACGAAAATTTCATAGATAACAAATGATTGGAAAGAAAAACTAAAATCACACATATCTCAAATTTGATAAGAGAAGTGTTGAAACAAGATGATGTTAAGGAATTTCCATTTTGCACGTTTATAATACCTACAAAATTGCATATTGGAATCTAGTTTAACTTCCACGTACTTGATAACTAATTGTCTTGAAATTACTGTTAATTATTTAACACTTCTTAGAAATTAAATATCTTTTTCTTCAGGCTAACTCCAATCATTCACCTACCAAGTAAAATCAAACTTCGTGAATGTGGAAGTTTTAAAGCCAGCTAGCCAATTTATAATTTAATCTAAGTCAATGTTCCCCTAAAATTTGAATTTCTTTTTCGATACAAAGATACAAAAATATATAGATGTTGAGAGAATATTAAATATCCACTAATAACTTCAAAATTTTCTTCTTCAAGTAATTTGTGTGACAAATTTGCAGACAAATTTTGTTTTCAGTCTAGTTTCAACTCGTGTGAATCTCACTCATGAATCTCATACTGGAACTATGAAGATGAGGATGTCATAGTAAACAAAAATATTAGAACATCAATCTACATCTTCCCACTCTATGAAATATATTCACACGTCTTTTTCATTACCTGTGTTGATTAATGAGTCTAATGACATTATTGACAGATCTATGCATTCAATTGGTCATGATGCTTTCAAGTGAAAACGGCTGAATGTGTTAAGTTTTGTTTTGTTTTTGTTCTTTGTTTTTTTGAGTCAAATGGTGAAAATTCCATAGCAATAAATAAACATACATCACTGCTGCGACCCAGGCAAGATAGCTCTTCCATGCGGATTTGGTGAGGTACACTGTGGCATCCCAGAGCGCCTGTTCCAAGTGGATTTTTGGCCATTGGAAGTTCTGAAAGATGGATACATTCCTTCGCACCCATATCATCCACAGAATTGAGCTTCAGAGGAGTGACCTGGATTGCTGGAACAATGCAATGTCGGGATGAAGATTGTCTCCTAAAAACCACTGAGCAATGGAGAAGCGTATCTAGGGCGTTGGTCGAGTCCCCAAGTTGGCAATGTGGTACATGATGGAGGTGGCATATGCCCATGCATCCACAACAGCCTCGCAATCAAAGAAAGCATGAGTAAGTGATTCGGGGACGTCTAATGCGCAGCATGTACATCAGTCCGTTGTGCCTCGAAAAGCTACATGGCGCCATTGATTAACCGCGATGGCCCTGTGATAAAAATTCCACAAGAATGCAGCTTCCTTACGAGGTTGCATTGTATCACAGACCGCCATCTAATCAAGTTGGAAATTTTTTGGTGTAAGGCCATGCCACTTCTGATGAATTGGAAGTGTAAAAGCCTAGCGCGGGCGAAACCAGTGCCTCTCGCGTTGTGTCGTATAGGCGTGGAACACATTGCCCTTGGGCCAGCGCAACCTGCTTGGATCAAAGGTTAAAGTAGCAATGGGGCAAAATACCTGTAAGTGGCAACAGTTTGTTTGGCTACCGTTGGGGAGGTTGAATAGACTCGGACTCAAACTACAGAGCCAAAAAAGAGGCTTGGCGTTCGGCGCTATGATGATAGTTCATGTAGCGAGCGCGTGGTAGTTGTGACTCGAAAAGTTGGCAGTTGCGCCGGTACTGCTACGTGATGGTGACAACGCGTGAGAGCGGGGCGGAACTTCTTGGTCGCATGAAAGAGGAGGATTAGGTCAGAGGTAACTGCATCTTCAAAAATGCCAAGCCAATCTCCAGGTTTTGGCCTGGATAGCGTGTCCAGACAAATCACCTTCCAGGATTAGGGAACCTTGGATTGGATCAATTCAATGAGGCGCCGTTCGGTATCGTCGAGGCTGTAATCTCACTGCAAGGAGTTCCAGGGTTGAGGCTCCATCAAATCCTCCACCCAAAGGTCCCGCAGTCAAGTAAGCCCTTGAGTCGC